TCACCTTCAAGTAAGGTTTGGGCACGACAATCTCAACTAAGCTATAAATAAAGGTTTAAATTTATTCCTTAAGGTACGTCCTATTAATTGAGCAATACTATCAACTGTTTTCTCTGGACTATTTCCACTATCCGCACGTCTGACTTGAGCGCCGGAGGGGTTTCCGCCGGATCACCCCCCGGCCTAGTTCACGTGTGCTCATTTCGCAGGGACCTCAGGATCATCAAGTTGTCAATCTACTGATCCGCTTTGCTCTCCCAGCTCTTTCTACACTACCCTAGGTGATCTAAGTAATTAGCATCATCATACACATATACTTAATATTTACGTTCCCGCAAATTCCCGTATCTTCATTTTTTGGGACATGCCATTTTCACATGTTTTTTTTCCGTTTATCCGTATCGATGTTTCCGTATCCGTGCTACATAGCTCACAATCAATTCATGTTGCTAAATAATTATACGAGACTGAGTTCAATGTCCAGTCTGATGTTCCCTCTCCAACTCAACTGGAATTAAGATATTCATATATTATTTATTTAAAATAATATGAAAGTAAAACAAATACATGTTATGTTTATATATTTATTTATGTAATTAGTTTTTATTGTACCAAATAATCAAAAATCCCAAATACTATGCATGCATTATTAATTCAACTTACCATCAAAGTATAAAATGTTATTTAAAATAATATTTGTAAAAGATACCGGTCATAATTTGTTTATTATATATCCAAGATAATAAAAATAAAAGAAAATAAACTGAATGAAACTACACCATTTAATTATGCTTTCTTTATTAGAAATAAAACTGATAGCACAACGAGGACGTCGCTGCATTAGGTTGGGAGAATGTTACGGACCATCCATTTTCCATGGATCGAAGGTGGCTTAGTTAAACCATCCAACAAGCAAGCCCAATAGAAGTTGGCTCATTTAGGCTCATGTATAGATTTGTAGAGATCTTTAGAGGATTCTAGAAGTTCCTTTATATATATTTGGTAGAAAATTGTATGAAATGTTCTTAGTAATTAGATTAAGATGATCACAATTGTTGCTTCAGAAGGTGGAGTTGTATAAATAGGAGTATATCATTCATTTGCAATTATCCAAGAATCCATGCGATAAAGAATAATTTAGCATTCTTTAACATTTATCTTCTTTCTTAAAAACTACTATGGATTAAAATATTTGTAATAATCTATAGTACTCATTAACGTTTAATTCATGAGTTGAAAAAGGAAACCAAAATGATAAATGGAAGAAGCAAATTTAGCATACAGTTCAAACTCATACGAATATAGTTATATAGAGATTATTGCCACACTAACAAAAGACACAAGTAATATTGTGCCTAAAGCAAGAACTCGGACATAGATAGCCTATCAGCATGACCGCATATCATCATGTCCACGAGTATCACAAGACACGAGTGAGTTTGGACGCTGACAATGTAATAAACAAGAATATATGTACCGAATGCTTTCCCATCTCAAAATTTATTTATGGGGACCCTCTTCTTGGCTTTTTCTGGTACCCATCCCTTACTCTAGGGCTTTTATTTTTTTGAACAAGTCTTAGGCTGTTTTGGTTAATCTCGTATGAGGGTTTCATGTTATTTTCTAGACGTGATCGAGTGGTAGATGCATTCTTCTTGTTACAAAAGAATCAATCTAAGTGAATGCAAATAATTATTTTTGTATGTTTTTCTAGAATTATATCTTGAGCTCCGGTTACTCAATAGTTGAAATGTCCGCGCACAAAGAGATCCAATTACCATGAAGTAACTTATTCACTAACAAATAATTAAATGTATCTTTTTACTGAGTCTTATCCGCTTAACATATTTGAGTTGATCAGATAAAAACACATTCGATCGTGTCAGACATGAAACCTACTCATGAGTCTTAACCACCAAGAGTTATTTATTATCTCATATTGCAGGGACGTGGAAATATTCCTTAATAATTTTCACGAAGTAACTAATGTAACTACCGAAGGGGTTGAGTCTCTCTTGACTTATTCAAAATCTCACTCATTAAATAGTCGAAGCAAAATCACCAATTAAATCGGGACATTAAATATCTAGACATTAAGAGACTAAGTAATAGTCTGATAGCGATAATATAAGGGCGAATTGCACTGCACCCCTTTAAAAATGCATTTTTTGCACTTTCCCCCTCAAGAAAAAAATGAGTGGCCCCCTTTAAAATATACAACTCGATGCACTTTGTCTCAAATGTGTATTTTCGGTCCAACCAAGTTGTATATTTCAAAGAGAGGCAGTCCCGTTTTTGTATATTGAGGAAGGGGAGTGCAAAAAAGGCATCTTTTAATGGGGTGAAGTGCAATTTGCCCATAATATAATATAGTTTCAGTTTGGATTAGTTTCTTACTCCCCCTTCACAAATAAAAATGGATTATTTTATAGAGAACCCCCTCATATGAAATATATATAACTAACCACCAATGGGATTATATCCTGGTGCGTACGCTCTTCATTTTAAAATTTATTTGACAGACCCCCTTGCCCCTCCTGAAGTACCTAAAATGTCCTTTTAAAATCAGTTGAAAACCCTAGCCCACCGACAAACGTCTCTCTCTTCCTCTCTCAACTCTCAGATCCAAATGCCGCCCCCATAGATCTCCAACCGGCGAAGTTGCTTCCCGAAATCATAACTCTCTCTCCGGTGGTCGGAATTCGACGGTTCAACTACCGTTGGATTCCTCTCGTCAATCTCTATATTTTGGTGGTGATTTCATTCTGTTTGGAGCACTCGATATGTTTTCGAAATTGTTTTACAGTCGGTGCGTATTTCGACGACGGTGGATCTTGCTGGAGGTGTAATTTGTGTTCTGCTAGCCGGAATTTGATGGGCTACCAACCGTTGGATTCCTCTCGTCGAGATCTGTATTTTGATGGAAAGTTCATTCATTTTTTATTGTCAGATTTATTTCTATAATGGTTTTCATTTGTGAGCGCGGAACCTTGGTTGGTTAGCGACGGCTAGGGTTTTGGTAGGAGGCGCTTCGGGTGAGGAGTCATTGGCGGTTTGGTCTTAAATTCGTAGCATTTCACAGCTATGGCCCCTCCCCTCCCCCCCCTCTCTCTCTCTCTCTCTCTCTCTCTCTCTCTCTCTCTCTCTCTCTCTCTCTCTTAGTGTTTGTTGATTTTTGAGTGTTTTGATGTTTCTTTATTTTTGTTGATTTGCACTAAAATGATTTTTTTTTGTTTTCATTTTGCTATTGCAGCTTAATGAAAGCCATTGATCCTCTCCTTGAATTTGTCAAAAAATTTGGTTGAAGTTACATCTACTTCAAGTTATAGTGTTCAACACAATGTATACATTATTGTACATTATACACATTACTAGTTAGTAGTTACATATAGTAACATGTAGTTACATATGCATATATTTGTGTATTTTCGATTTGTATTTTATTGGTTCTGAGCTGATTTATACTATAAATATTAAAATTTGTAAATTTTGTTGTGGGATTTATGAATTTATAAAAATTAACTCATCTGGTGGGCGTTGTCGAAGTTTAGGGAATCCAGAGTTAAGGAACAAAATCAAGCGGCGGTTGAGTTTCTGATGAGGAGGGTGGTGGAGGAAGTTTGATTGGCGGCGTGGGTTCTGACGAAGGATGGGTCGTCGATGAGGCGGCGCCACCCCTTGCAGATGGCACGAAAGCGGAGGAGAGAATCGGCGGGGATTCGCCGGAGTATTTCATGATGGAGGTCGGAGGGGATGTCTGACATTTGTTTTTCGGAGCAAAGGTGATGGAAATCAAGAATGTGAAGAAGGCTTTGTGGTGTGTGAGTGTGTGTGATACCATTTTCCCTCCCCGTTTAGGAAAGGGGATCTCTCCCAAAATATATGATTATTTTATTCCTTTGTTTATAGGCAATATGAAGGGAAAATTAGCAATAAATCCCTCGTTTTAGGAAATATAATTAAGAATGATATAAAAGTGTCCTTAGCTAATATTCCAAACAAATGATATTTTCATAATTCAAAATTACTATTATTTGATTATAATTATTTTGAATTTTTGATGCTAATTAATTTTTCACCTTTGCGGACATCTTTTCCTCCGTGTGCCGTTTCTCCTGCTTTTTTTCACAATATTCAGATCTCAGACATTTCTTTTCACTCTCCGCCACCACCATGGCTAAATCACGTGGCTAAATCACGAACAACTTCTGGAAATCTACGATGGAGACTATGTAGACAACAAGGCGGAGGATCCCTTGCTCACAAATACTCCAAGTAGCGTTCCCCTTACTCACAGTTTCTCGAGTTTGCGAAGATTTTTTCTTCATCGCCACTATTGCGTCCTAGATATTTATTGTATTGACCACCATCAAATTTTAATCAATGACTAACGGAGGGTAGGTTATGAATTTTTAATTTAATTTTGCTGTCGCTTTTTGGATATAGCGGTGATCATGAAAAGACCTCCAACCAACTCTCAAACATCTCATAATCAAATCATATTCCTCCACCCATTCTCCTTGAAAATGTGATACAGTCTACTACTCCAGGGCAAACTCAACAAGACCGCTCTTCAGCTCCTCAACCGGTGGCTCCGCCCGTACCAGGTATAACACACACTCAATTACCTCTCTCTTCTCAAACACTTACAGCACCTCCATCTAACAGTAATATACCAACCATCTCCCAAACACATGTGCACCAACAAATACCTGCCAGCCAACCGGCTTACCCAACCAATAATCCTTCTCAAACCTCAAACCGTGTCACCACTCGTTCCCGAAACAATGTCTGTAAACAAAAAAAAAGTTGCCGACTATGTTGCCCAATTATCTCCAAACTTTACACCCACCACAGTTAAACAAGCCACAAAATATCCCCACTGGAGAGATGCAATGAAACAAGAGCTTGATGCCTTATTGAAAAACCAGACTTGGGAATTAATTCCAATTGATCCCAATAGAAATATCATTAAGTGCAAATGGCTCTTTCGTATTAAAATGAAACCAGATGGCAGTGTTGATCGTTATACAACGAGGCTCGTCGCCAAGGGTTTTACTCAACGACCCGGCATTCGTTATCATTCAACATTCAGTCCAGTCATTAAGCCGACAACAGTACGACTTGTTCTTGCTATTGCTGCCCAGACAAATTGGGCAATACATCAGTTGGATGTAAATAATGCTTTTTTTCAAGGTCACCTCGAAGAAGAAGTCTTTATGATGCAACCACCGGGCTTTGGACATCCAGATTTACCGACGCGTGTATGCCGCTTAAAATGAGCAATTTATGGCCTCAAACAGCCCCAAGGGCATGGTACAACGAATTAAAGGTATTTATTCTGCAAATGGGGTTTCAAAAGTCTCAGTCCGATACATCGCTTTTCATCCTTCACAACATGGTTGTTACAGTCTATATATTGGTGTACGTGGATGATATCATAATCATAGGAAGCAACTCCACATTTATCCACAAGGTGATTTCTTCCCTTTCTCGACGTTTTTCACTTAAAGATCTTGGCCTCTTCACCATTTTTTAGGTATTGAAGTAACTCAGCAGGATGATAGTATAATCTTGTCGCAATCCCAATATATTATGGACGTCCTCCGAGACTCGAATATGGACGACATCAAAGGTGTTCTTACTCCCATGAGTTCTTCTCAAGTTTTGGGCCTAGATGATGGTAGTGCCATAGCCAATACGAAGGAGTATCGACAAGTAATAGGAAAATTGCAATACCTTTCCTTCACTCGTCCGGATATTTCTTATTCAGTTAACAAGTTGTCCCAATACATGCACTTTCTCAAACTCATTGGAAAGTTGTTAAGAGAGTCCTTCGGTACCTGAAACAAACAGCTCACTATTGTCTGCGCATCCCTCATCATCGTGACAACAATCTGTATATGTACTCCGACGCGGATTGGGCCGGCGATCCAAATGACAGAACCTCGACGACAGGTTATCTCTTTTACTTTGGTAACAATCCAATAAGATGGTCTTCAAAGAAACAAAAAATGGTCACTAGGTCCTCAACTGAAGCCGAATATAGAGCTGTTGCCAGTGCATTATCCGAAACAAATTGGGTTAGCAACTTATTTGCGCGAACTTCGAGTTCCTCTTCAGAAACCACCAACGATCTTCTGTGATAATATTGGTGCAACTTATCTCTGTCAAAACCCTGTCTTTCATAGCCGCATGAAGCATATTGCAATTGATTTTTACTTTGCTCGTGAGCAAGTGCAATGAAAACAGGTTGTTGTTACACATGTTCATAGTGCCGATCAGCTGGCAGACACTTTAACCAAAGCTCTTCCGAAAAGATCCTTTCATCATCACCCGAGCAAGTTAGGTGTTGTCAACACCACCTAACTTGACTGGGCGTATTAGCGTAACAAACTCTTCCGCAAGACTTGGGAATTCTTTAATTTCTGTTTAGTCAAAGTTGTTTCTATTTTCATCTTGTTTGAGTTTCAATAGGTCTCTTATTTCTCGGCAGATTAGTTTTGATATTCTCTCCCATACACGTTGTATATAATGGGATGTAATTGTTCCTTAATAAAATATCAAATTCCATCTTCTCTATAGATGGGTCGTCGATGAGGCGGCGCCACCCCTTGCAGACGGCACGAAAGCGGAGGAGAGAATCGGCGGGTATTCGCCGAACTATTTCATAATGGAGGTCGGAGGGGATGTCTGACATTTGTTTTTCGGAGCAAAGGTGATGGAAATCAAGAATGTGAAGAAGGCTTTGTGGTGTGTGAGTGTGTGTGATACTATTTTCCCTCCCCGTTTAGGAAAGGAGATCTCTCCCAAAATATATGATTATTTTATTCCTTTGTTTATAGGCAATATGAAGGGAAAATTAGCAATAAATCCCTCATTTTAGGAAATATAATTATGAAAAAATCTCTCCATCAAAAGTAGTTAGTGCTCTTAGCTAATATTCCAACCAAATAATATTTTCATAATTCAAAACTACTATTATTTGATTATAATTATTTTGAATTTTTGACGCTAATTAATTTTTCACCTTTGCAGACATTTTTTCCTCCGCGTGCCGTTTCTCGTGCTTCTTTTCACAATATTCAGATCTCAGACATTTATTTTCACTCTCCGCCACCACCATGGCTAAATCACGAACAACTTCTGGAAATCCACGACGGAGACTATGGCAACGACAAGGCGGAGGATCCCTTGCTCGCAAATACTCCAAGTAGCGTTCCCCTTACTCACAGTTTCTCGAGTTTGCGAAGATTTTTTCTTCATCGCCACTGTTGCGTCCTAAATATTTATTGTATTGACCACCATCAAATTTTAATCAATTACTAACTGAGGGTAGGTTATGGATTTTTAATTTAATTTTGCTGCCTCTTTTTTGATATGGCGGTGATCACGAAAAAAATAGGTTTGGGTGGCTTTGTTTTGGTGGTTTTGATGGTGGTGGTACTGTTTGAGTTGGTGATGCGGGTTGTGATTTAATTTATTTGTAATAAAAAAGCCGTAAGAATATGGTGGGGTGGTGATGGTGTAGTGTGGCGGGGGTCTGGTGACGATTGGGAGGGAGGTCTAGGGTTTTTTCGGTAGATCGGACAGAGGACGGTGCGGGTAGATAAATTCGGGCAGGTTGGACCATTAATCGACTACGTGTTTTAGTAGTCAAATAAGTTAATCGACTATGCTCTAGTAATTGATTAAAGTGTTAATCGACTATTTTGGTAGTCGATTAAGGTTACTCGATTTCATTTTTTAATTCATTTTTGGATTTTATGTATTGATTCTGATTTGTATAAATCAATTACAATTTATGTACATTATTTGTTTCGTAAAAAAATATTGATTATTTTTATGTAGTTATATGGTTTTTTTAATTTTTAGCGTTCAGTTTCTTAATCGACTATGCTTCATCATAGTCGATTAATATACCTTATAGAGAAAAAAAAAATTAACAAACGAGGAAAAAAAAGGACTGATGCACGTAGCGGATGATATAACAATTATAAATTACAATAACTAATTTCTTTTAAAGACAATAAAATATAAATTTCAATTTTGAATATATCTGGCTAAAAAATCGGAAGCATCTATAAGCGTCCCAAAACATGAAAACATGAAATTCTCATTTTTGAGATCACAAGACAGAGCCTTCTAGGATTTAGGCGGTGTTTGTGAGAGAATAAATATGCCTAAGAGGGGGTGAATTAGGCTTTTCAAAACCTTTTACTATTTTTGCAGAATTAAATTATTTCTAGAAAAATATATTTTTCTTTGATAATAAATATTTTGCAAACTTCTAAATTAATTCCGAATAAAGTTTTAGCAATAAAAAATATATGAGTACGAAAATTTGAATACGATAAAATAAAGTGCGTAAAGTAAATGACACCAAATTTATAGTGGTTCGGAGAAATTCCCCTACTCCACTCTTCTAGGCCCTCGAACTTTTATTTCACGTGCCTCCAAGATCCTTGAATCCTCCACACGAAAAGGATGCGCTTACAAGACTCTAACGACTTTCGCACCAACGACGTGCTTACAAGAGACTCACTCTTTCGCACTTATCAATACGTGCTTACAAGAGACTAACTCTCTCGCACTCAACAAAAAACCTCACAACAAAGAAATGCTCTCTAAGAGCTTTACAAAATCCCTCTCAATATATATAATGAAACAAGTGATAAGCAAGAGGACAATTTCGAATTTCCTAATAAATGACTCTCTATAAGCTCTTTTCGAAATTGGCTTGGAATGAATAAGCTTGAATGAATGGTCCACTATTTATAGGTGAAGCTCTTCATCTCTAGAAAGAAAATAATCAATCTTTAATCTCTTGATTGATTAGATGATGAGTGTGATTGATCTCCAGCTGATTGAGATCAATTAAATCACTTGAATATGGTAAGCATTTGAATTTTGAAACTCAAAGGAGTGTTCTTCCTTCAAAAACGATTTTCAGCAAAACATCTTCCAGCCAGCTTCAGCAACTTCCGGGTTAACTTCCAGACGGCTTATATATTTTTGAATCTTTGATTGAGGATTGATTTAAAATCTTCCAAGTCCGAAAATATGATTCTCAATCAGTTTAAGTCAATATTAGAACGTTTTTCAAACAATTCAAATAATTTTGAATATTAGCCCATTTTCCAAAGACTAGCAAAGTGCACGTGCATTGCACGTGTCGTAATATTATTATATGGTGAAAATAATTTTTATGTATATATTAGGTTGTAAGATGATTTTTATAAAATATGAGTCAATTTGTTTTAAACCAAAAATATATTATTACTTCTATAAATATTGGAGAAATGTAAACTACATCAAATCAAACTTATCTTATCTTCTTTGTATTGCATATACATTGAAATTCAGGAGAATCCTAGGAACATATTTTTCGAGATTGATGATCAAATTTGCAGTCAATTACGAGATTTTGTTTAGTTAATAATGTTTATGTGAAATCATTGAAAACTAATACAACTCATATAACTCGTAGTGGGACAACAAATCTTTTCCTGATAACCAAAATGCATCATCCAATTGCAATGTTTCTCATGGCACATCTAGTCCTTATGCAACGGGCTCTATTTATTGTGGATTATCCGCTCTTTAACCAATTCCATTTTTTTCCTTATTGAATGATGAAACATAAATCAGAAAAATAAAAAAAAAAATTAGGAGTTTGGTGCATTAACATAATTTCCAGCTAGCAATGAGCAAGAATGTAAATTATGTTCCAAACATACTCTACACAAATTTAATTGGTCTATATGCTTCGTAGTAGTATAAAGAGAAGGTTAGGTTCGTGCAAACTTTACAAAGAGTATCACTCCACATGAACGCAAGTCTGAAGTAGCTCTAATAATCTCGATCGTTTATGAGTTAGAGAATTTAGATAAATTCGAAACATAGAAGAAGAGAGAAACAAAAAAGGGACTTGCATATTTTAATAACATAGCTCAGGGCATTTTGAGTTTGACAGGCTAGTACCAGGCCATCATCCTGTCAAAGTAATGACATAATGATTTCACAAAGTGAAACTAAATATAATTATAATGAATAAATAATTCATGGAAGAACTTTAGATATTGTCCATAAGTTTGCATACAATGATATCTTTGATACGGTACAAAGATTGAAATATATATCTTGCATTTTTCGTAAAATGTCAAGCTTCTAAATGCAAAAACTAAAAAAAAACATCTGGAATATTGGAATCAAATGGCCACACTATCAAACAATCAGTCAAACTATATTGAGCAAAAATAGTGTATCATAGAGATACAAATTATGGCCAATAATACATTTAAACTTGAGCATTCCATGACGATTATTCTCCAAAGTTCAAATTTCTTCTAGAGCACGGAGTTGATTGTCTATTTGAATGCATTCTAAAAGAGCACAACAAGAGCATAATCTTGACCTTTATACAGTAAAATCTGCTACAATTTTAAATAAAACAATGAAATTAAAACAGTTTGTCTTCAGCCATTGATATGTCATAAAATATCAAAACAAAGAACGGACTACATGTACAACTATTTCTTCATTTAGCTTCCTAAAACTAACTATTGAGTAAAAGCATTCGAGAATACAAGATTGAGCTGAAATTTCTGCTTATGCATTTTGGGTGGCTTCATTTTGTCCTTCAGCTATCAGTTTCATCATCATGTGACTACACCGTGGAGAATCAATTTGTTGTTGACTTCATATGTATGGTTGTACCTCCCCTACCTGCTATGTCTAAGAAATATGGTGTACTTCCAACATCCTTATCTTGTAGTTTTGACGGATCACATCGACTTGCTATAAAGAGGAAAAAAAGAAGAAAAAAAAAACAAATATAATTGTTGAATGATCACCTCAACCAAAAAACTCAAGCTATTATTATTTAATACTAATATCTCCAATTCGCCCCCTAAAGTTCAAGCTAATTACATTTGAAGCATTCCACTTGAAGTATTTGAAATAGGTGGCGGTGGGATTCGAACTCATGACCTTTCATTTGGTTTGGCTCTGATATCATGTTGAATGACTACCTCAACCAAAAGCTTAAGTTATTAGTGAAGTATATCATTTAACACTAATATCTCCAATAATAACAGTGATAAAGCATATAAAATATACTGGCATAATTCACTCTAGTATCCCCTTAAATGGCTCGTAGATTTTCTATAATAATATCTCCCTGAAACTCACCTGAATGGTAACGGGAACCAGATCGAAGAAATTATATAAAGCAACATGCTTGCCAAGTTCAATTTGTGTTAAAGGAATTTAATATCTAATAACTTTAAAATTTCTTATGAGAGCACGACAGCGATTACAAGTGTTTTACATAAAGTGTGAGGTATTGCCTGCAGGAAGGAGATGGATGATTCAACCAAAATCTCAAGCTTAACTCATGATTTTTAATTTAGAGTAAACACAAAACTTACTAACTTAAAAATGAAACTATCTATAGCCACTGGACCCTAACATTTAGAGGGAAAAAATATGAATTGAAAAATATAAGAAGTTAATGAACAAATAAAATCATTAAAAAATTATATAATATAGAGGATAAAACGAACAAGGGGTATTAAAATTTCTGCCATCAAAATAAAAATGAAGGAAACAAGTTTATAGAAATAAATTACATGAGAAATAACTTTTAATTCCAAGTTATATTTATCTACCATTGGACAACATAAAACCATCAGT